ACACAGCCAACCCAATAGTTAATTATTAAATTCTTAACTTCCGGTGGTCCAAACGCGACATGACACATAGATAGATAGATAGATTGATAGGCTAAAAGGTAAATTTAAAGTCGGACCGCCTTCGGCTAGTCCGACTAAAAAGCACAGATATTTGTATAAATAAGTTATTTATTTCGATCAAAGATCGACACACTGTTTCAAACCTTACACGCGTTTCACATATCAAGAAGGAGGCGTTTAACGCCCAGTTATCATACTATATCATCCAGTATAAATAGCTATAATACATCATATCCACAGATAAATTACACAATAACGCCTGACGTTACAAAACTAAGCTTCGTTCTACAGCAATAGGGCTTCAGATAACGTCCAAACAAAATCTTATACAATAAGTAATTTACAACTCCACCGATACAACCTGATTTCTGTATGCAATTTTCACGCATAGCTATAAAAATAGTTCAATTGAATTAATCGTCGAGTTGGCAGAGCAAAGCTACGCCTCGGTTCACCCAATGTGTAGTAGGTTTGTCAGAAGGGATGTCGACAAACATGACAAAGTTGGTTGAGTGTCCTGTGGTTGATAGCGTGCCTCTTCGTGCACTTGTCTTGTATACAGGGCTTGGGTAACTGGCTTTGGGTTGAAACTTGGATTTCTCACCAGGTACAATCCATAACTAATCAACAAGTTAAGGAACAATTCATTGACCTTTTTGCGGTTAAAATCAATGCGGGCAACATGATTTCTGCAGCAGTCAAATGTTCAAGAGTGCCAAGTTAATATGATATTTTTCCAGATACTGTAAAAAAAAGACAAACATGCTCCAAAGAACAATTTTTCGGATTGTTGGCCGATTCTGCCGCGCTTAGGTGCAAAACCACAGGCCCCTCGCGCAAGTTGCTTTCTAACCGCCAAAAGAGCTATTGATTTTGTAGCTTTAGCACAATGGGGTTAACTCGGCAGAGTACGAATCAAATCAAGGGTACCCCTGAGTCAGTAATGTTGGTAGTAGTCACTGACAGCGGTAAAGCTCAGAGTTTGCTACCTCCTCAGTCGTTT